CTGATGGCCAATCTTCTGAAGTCTGGTGAGGCCAATGTTCACCACAGTTTAAAGTTGTTCACATATAGTCCTAAATGCTAATGTTGCTGCATAAATAATGCATCTATTATTATTTTCCTGTTACTTAGGCTACCAAGTCATTCTAATAACTTTTTTCAATTTATGATTTTTTGTTGCATCTGATCTGCTAGCCTGCAATGCTTTCCTGTCTCCTAAGCAATTTTCCTTCTTATTTGACTCTAATATTCAGTAATATCTAGGTGAGATCTGTGATGTTATATACATGGGCCATTTCATAATTTTTGCTTGTGTAACTTGCCTTGGTAAATGGGAAACAGAAAGGAGTGATAAAGGGCCACAATGAGCTGAATATTTTTTTTGATAGACATAATTAAGTTTTTCCAGTTTGACTGGTGATATGAGGTCCCTTTACTTTCAATATTTTAGTCTGTTTACTTGTGCAACTTGCCTTTGGTTAAATAGGAAACGCAAAAGAGTGACAGAGACCCACAATGAGCTGAATTTTTTTTGCTAGACACAATTAAGTTTTTGAATTTCTCTGCTTGCTTTTTCTCACTTTATGTACTAATAACAACTATCCATCATGTAAAAGAAATCTTTCTATAATCCATCAAGACATTATTAGAATAGTTTTCTGACATCATGTGGTTTTCTTCTACCAGAGAAAGCACTTATGGAGCGGGCATTTGATCTTTGAACAGAACTGGAGAATGTTGCATCAGATGTCTCCAATTTGTTTGCTAAGATTGGTTTGTATGCTAAGCTTAGTGATCTAAACAGAATAAGGATGTATTATGCCCAAAACCATGCAGTTTAATGTTGTTATTCATGCATAATTGCTTATCCAGAGCACAAGGGCAAAATAGAAGATGGAAACAGAATTATTGTCCAGAAGTTCCAACCACAGCTAACGCAACAGCTTCGCATCTTGCATAAAACTGTGACAGCTTCAGCAACACAACAAGAGCAACAATTAAAGGATATGGAAGAAGATATGCAGTCTTTTGTATCCACAAAGACACAGGTATTGTATACATGAAATAGCATAAGCTTGTATCTGCATAGATTGTTTGTCAATACATTCACGTCTCTCTTGTGTGCTAGGCTACTGAAGAGTTTCGAAGCCGCCTCGAGTAGTTGAAAACTATGTATGGTTCTGGTATAGAATCTCTTGACAGTTTAGCTGGGGAACTTGATGGGAATTCACAGTCAACTTTTGGACATCTAAATTCTCAGGTCTCTGGGCATTCATCTTCTCTGACTAAGGTGAGTATCTCTTGACATTGAATGCTACAACTATGATTTGCCTCTGTATCTTTTGCTTGATCAATGTTCAAAAAATGCAGTTTTTCAATAGTATTGCTTCAGAGGCTGATAAACTGCTGAATGATCTTCAAAATAGTCTTCACGGTCAGGAGAGCAAACTAATTGCATTTGCACTGCAGCAACGTGAGGTTGGCATTTGCTTAAGAAACTAAAGAAACATGCTTGGCCTGATAACTTTCCATTCTCTGATCTAATTTGAGAGAACCAGCTAATGTTACTTACATTGACATCTTCTGCAGGCTCATCAAAGAGCTGTCACGATAACAAGGTCAATTGCTGAAATAACTGCCAACTTTTTGAAAACTTTGGATGCGCATGTTTCACAATTAGGCCGAATTATAGAAGAATCACAGACAGTCAATGATAAACAATTATCTGATCTAGAAAAGAAGTTTAAGGTGATTTGACTTTTTTCCCACTTGAACCTATTTTCTGCTCTAAGTTGTGGTTTTGCTTTAAGTTTGATTCTGTTTTGGTTTCTTCCTTCAATGTAGGAGTGTGCTGCCAATGAAGAAAGGCAGCTCTTAGAAAGGCATTAAATGCTTGTTACATCCCTAAAATGTTACATGCAAAGAATTGGATGAATAATATAGAAATGATTGAACAACATCAAAATTAATGCTCGTTGTAAATTTAAGAACACCACAGATAATCAATCCTCCACAGAATAATAGAAAAAATTAGTAGTGTTTACTCATTGTTTAATATTTTTGAATCTCCCATTTACTTCTCCCAACACTTCATCCCATCTCTACATGAAGCAAAATCATACTGTTGAGTTTCAATTTTATTCGCCTCAATTATTTTCTTTTTGATCTTTTTCTCGACACCATGTTAGATGCAAACCTTTATTTACTCGCATTTTCTTACAACATTGCTTATTTAAAAGCTTAATCATTTTATAACCAAATAACTTAAATGCAATGCATACGATATATGATATCTTCACTTGAAAATCTGGGCATTTTCTGGGCAACATGAAATTAACACCGTGCATCGCGCGGTGATCCCCTCCTAGTAAGTAGATAAAGAGCCGAAGGCCTCTGATGACCTGGAATGGTTTTCGTCGTCCTCTCACGTGCCGCACATGTGAGTCACCAGCCTCTTTTTTTCCGCACGATGCGCCAAATACTTCGCACGTGAGAGTCACCAGCCTCTTTTTTTCCGCGCGATGCGCCAAATACTTCCTCTCTAGGGTTTTCTTAAATTTCCTCCGCCGCCGCCGCTTTCTCTCTTCTCCCCTTCTCTCCTTCGCCTCACCTTTATCCTCAGAAGCTAAACCCATCCCAACAGTCCTTGATCAGATCTTTCCCTCTTCCTCTTGTTCTCAAAATCTTTATTATCTCTCCTTCTCCTTTCCTTCCAACTCTTTGATTTTATTCTTGAATATTACATCAACTTTTTTATTTTTTTTCTTTATTCTCATGTTTACTGCGCCTGCCTGCCGTCCCCAATTCCCCACTCAACTCGCCACACCGGCTACTACGACCAATTTGTCATGTCTCCCAGCTCCGGACGTCACAGAATTTAAAAGCTACCAGTTGCCACTTTCTGCTGGTCCCTAGGCTTTTCTTTTCTATCCACAGCACTCCACCCGTCCATCCGGCTCAAGCTTACAGCTAGATGAAGGAACAAAGCATAGGCCTCCACTACCCGTGCCAACTGCCTATTTGTTCCGTGTTTTCATTTAACATTTGAAGCTTCAAACCCTGTAAACGATACCTAACCTTTTCCACAATCGTCTTTTATTTTCGTTCCTTGGCTGAGAGACTGCCGACTTTGTCTTGGCTGGGATTACTTTTGATTTGTTGACTTTTATTTTTCGGTCAAATATAGAACCGAGAGTGAAGCATTGACTGCTGCTTCCTCTCTATTGTTTCAGGTACTACCTCGGTTCTTCCGTTACTTTCCGTTAATTAGTGATTATTTTTCTCTCTTCTATTTGGTTGCGTCGATGTTTTGTCTTGTTTTTTCTGGAATGCAGCTAGAGTGTAGATATGTGGTGGCCCTCTTAGAGATGATCTGAAAGAAAATATTCAATCCCAGATCTTCAAGCTAAAGTAGTAGAGTGAGGTATGTGCGATTTTCTCTAATTTTTTTCCTAATTATTTCATTTCATAGGATTTTTTTCTGAATTTTCCTGAAATTTTTTTAGAATGGCAATATTGATTTTATTAGAAATGCCTCTACCGAAATTTTTCTGGCTGCTTTTCAAGTTTATTATTGCTAATTAATTGGATTACTGGAATGGACAGGTTGTTGCAGTTAAGCAATTGGATAGAAATAGACTTTAAGGTAACCGGGAATTTTTGGTTGATGTTCTTATGTTCAGTCTTTTATATCATTCTAACCTTGTAAATTTAATTGGTTACTGTGCTAATAGGGACCAGAGGCTACTTGTCTATTAGTTCATGCCCTTGGGATCATTGGAAGATCATCTTCATGGTATCATTTCAGGCATTCTTGTTCATTATCTTGTCAATTGTTTGCGGTTTAGTTATTGCATGCATTTTTAAGTTAAATTTACATGTTTACTGAAATTTACAAACTACATAAATTTTCTTAAGGAAGGCATGATGACTGTGTAAGTTTTGTTTAGTAAGTTAATTGGGTTTTTTCTACTTAAACTAACTTTTATGTTGATTGCTCTTTCTTTACAATAATGCCATTTATAAGGAAAAATAAAATGCAGAACTAATGAAGCCTCAAGGATAGAGCTTAGGCTCAAACTTGCTTATTCTAGGTATGGGGGTCAATATTCGTTTCAGGAAAAGGGGAAAGGTGGGGTTGAGGGCATATAAGTGGCATAGTATGGTGAATGGATGGTTTGGTGTTTTTAATAGTGGTGATAGCTGCTAGCATTGAAGAATCTTAAGTCCTTTAAGGTAATGCCTTCATTATTTTGTCATTTCTCTCCATTTTTTTTCCTTCCATGTTTGAACTATTGTGGTGTTGCTATTTTTTGTAATTATCAGCTGTTCTTTTTGCTTGTTTCATGGTTGTTTGTTTTGATTTTTCTGCCCTGAAATTTTCTGTTGGTTTTTTGTCCGATAAAATCCATCTAAAGATGACTATTATTTGTGTTAGTATGGCTTCTGCCTCCGATTAGTGATGCAAATTTACTTCTTTTTCAATATCGAACCAGCCTTTGCATTTAGAATAATGTCTTCTTTAACTTTCTGCCTTTTGTTTTCCCTGTATTCTATACTTTTAGATGATTTATTATTGTTTTCCTATTATTGTTGATCTATTAGGGTTCAGCTGCAGAAAGTGCTTTCTCGGGGATTTGATGAAAGTACTTGGCCACTCCAAACTAAAACCGGCAGGTATACTCTACAAAAGATAAAAGGGACAATTACCTGCCATATTCACCCTTTTGTAGGTTAATACATACTTGAACATTTAAAATTGTACTTATGAGAAAATTGGAATAGCTACTCAAACTTGGTATATTTGTAAAATTTTGACAAGATTGATAAACATGCTATATTGTTTACATGGTATTTTTCTTACTTGTATTTTGCTAAATGGTTTAAACCATGCCATGAGATAGATGGATATATTCAATGATGCACTGGAATCTTTCTATTTTCATGCTTAATAGTTGCTATTAATTCATTTTCTATCTTCTGTTGCAGCTTCTAGAAATAGCCCAAGTTCCTGATGAACATGTGAGATTCAATTTCTTCTGGTTTCTTTACCTTTTAGCGAAATGCTTTTAACTGTTGGCATACTGCATGCAATCTTGTGCAATTTAAACATTGTTTCTTTAAATAACTATTTCTACATAAGAAGGTCCCAGGATTGATGTATGTAGGGGTATAAGCACGTTACATATAACCAGTTAGGTTAATCAGTATGGTTGTTTACTTAATGTGGAGTTAGATCCATCGACCTATTTAGGCAACTAAACAAGGGTATCCAGAATTAGCCCATTCTTGATGTAACATCTTTTTCTTGGGTTACACAATTTCATAGGCATCATTTTGATATTAAAGGATTATGCTGCTCCTCTTTTTTTACAGGTGAATGAATTCAAGTTGATAGGGAAGTTCAAAATTTTCAATCCCAACAACTTGTAAGTGTTATGCTTCTCATTTGAAGCTAAAATATTATTTGCTTCAAGCACTGTGGGCAATGCTTCCTTCATGGAAAATGCAATGGAATGATATATTTCTGCTATCATATAGATGGGTGAACTTGAAAGCAATCAAAAGACTTGTACAAGAAAGTGCACTGAAGATGGAGATTATTCCAAATCCAAAGGTTCTATTTCTTAACTATCCGTTCTGCATTCTGCCAATGTATTTGTTCTTCTATTTAATTTTGTCTGATTAATAGGAAGTAGATGGGGTGAAAGTTCTTCAACTTGAAACTGCTATTGGCGCTACAATAAGGATACATTAACCTTATCTCTTGATATTCATTTAAACATCTTTATTTTCCATTTCTTTCCATTTAGGTTTATCAATATGGCATTTCACATTCAGTCTCCTCTCTACCAACAACCAAAGGTAAGAAGTAAAATCATTTACTTTCAGCCCCCACCCCCAATCAGTTCTTTGATCATGCTATTGAATTCTGTTTTGAATACTATATGAATTGGTATTTATTCATGCATTTAACCTTTACAGTCCGACCTGTACACTTTGTCTGATGACGGCTATGTGGTCTGCAACGAGGCTAGGAAAAATCCAACTAACCCAACTATGAATTGGGACCTGAATTTAAGAAGGTTGAGATTTTAGCCCCCTATCTTTCTCCACAGGTTGAATTGTTTATATAGCTAATTGTTTTTTCACTTTTTTAGGTAGGCAACTTCTTAAGTCGTATCAAGTCTATTCCCAGTATTGTTGAACTAGACAGCCTAAAGATGAGTGGTGATGGTGGTTTGGATCTGGTATCACCCTGAAGGTAATACAAACTAACTACTTGTCTCCCTATTACTCTGTTTCCCTGTTACCCTGTTTCTGAAGCTTTATGGATGTATCTGTTCCTTGAAGATTTTCTTGTGATGTGGCAATTTGTGGTTGTACAGTGGTTTGTTATTTCTTATTTAATGTCCATATGGCATATGCATTAATTTCTTCTTTTCTTTTTTTTTCCCCTTGTTTTAAGGGGAAAGTGACAATAACTGCAAAACCTGGAACCAAATTAGAAATTCCAGACAAAGTTGTAATTGCTGATAAGGTAATATATGCAGCCGACTGCCTTAAAAATTTGGTTCACCGATTCAAAAAAAAAAATTGGTTCATGGTGCATAGCAATTTGGCTTTACATTCTCTATCTATTGCCAGGTTATAAATGGCCTTGAGGATATTTAAGAGGTCTAATTCTCTGGAAGTGATGCATAGTTTTGCCATTTTTAACGTTGAAAGAAATATTTGTTTCCATTTGTTTTCTTTGTGCAATTTTTTTTTTAAAGAAAAGGTACTGAAAATTCGAAAAGTGATTGACTACTTTTGAACTATTTAAAAAGATTATTTGAGAGATATTTGGTGAATTATGGTCCATAAGAAAGAATAATTGGCACTGAGAATATTTCAAGCAATAAAAGATGAAATCCCTTCAAAAGTTGTATGATTGAAATTACATTGTTGATGTTAAGTTCCAAATTTTGAACTTTAAGTATCATCAACTCCAAACTTCATATTTATAGGGTGAACTGGTGGTTTAAGAAGAATTATTCTCAATTTCGCAGAATGACGTTGGATGTTAATGTAGGAAAAATTTAATCTGGTTGAAAAATTCTTTTGTAATAATCCATTGTTCATTCTCTTCTGCTTGTTATACATGTACTTAACCCAAATCGTCATTTGGTTTTTTGTAGGACTGGTTCCAAAACTGAGCTTGCTCCAGTTTCAGTTTCAACAGGTTCTCGCACTGATGCAATACCATATTCTAGGAAATATGATGGGGTAGTTGGCATGTTGGGTACAATAGAAGCCATCAACGTTCTAAAGCGGTATGTTGGCTAAATTGGCTTGACTGACTCTTGTTAGCCCTCTTGAATTCTTAAATTGTACCATGGCCCAAAATTCAAGGTTGCAGTTGTTTGCTGGTTTGCTTTACCTAAATTTTTCGCTTGTTCGATGGTAGGTAATTTTTTTACGGAGTTGGAATCTTAGAGAATTGCCTTTCCCCCCTACTCCTTTATGTGTTTCTTGGATCCTTGCTTTACTAATGCTGCTATGCAATGGTCTTAATGCTAATTTTTTCATCTTTTTTCCTTGTATGCTTTGTTCTTTCCCTTATGCTAAATATCTGGCTGTGATTGTTTGCTGCTTTTTGATGTTTTATCTTTTCTGGAGTTTTGTTTGATTTCTTTTGGATTTTTCATAAGAGATGTTAAAAAGTAGGAACAAGTTTTTGGATACAAATCTGGAGAAAGTTTGTGGAGCTTCCCACACATTCATTTGGCAACCAAGATACACGTGATGCTTTGTCTGCAGCAATCCACCATGAGAACAAAGCTGTCATGTACCACTGCAAATATCCGCTTTTAAGGTTTATTGATGACTTTATTTTCATGTCAACGTCAAAGAAACGGGCCTCTTTGTTCTTCTCCCGGTTGCAAGGAGGATTTCATGGATACAACTGCTATATGAATAAAGGGAAATTTGGTGTAAATTTTGATATGGATCATGTATCAGGATTCAGGTCAAATATACTCTATATGGGTTAACTCTATGGTTGACCATAGAGTAAATTTTGAAATGAAGCTTATGGATTTGAAGCTCAAGATAAGATAGCTAATTTGGATTCCTATTTTCGTGAAACAATTTTGCCTCCTACTTATTCATGTATATTATATTTAGCTGTGTACACAAATTATTAACTGACAAACATTTTTGTTCCATGAATCCATATGTCTAAGTGGGCATATTTTCTGTTTATCCCAACGCGCGCAGCGCGTTTTGTGCCTCCTAGTTCTATATATGTTGAGAATATGTAGGCCATCAATTTGCATCACATTTGTTTTCCACAAAAGGAGCGTGCAAGGACGTGGCCGCTTTGCATTGAAGTTTGACTGACGATCAAAATATTGTTGGGCCCACTCAATTTGTTTTAGCTCTTTTAGCAATGTTTTTAACCGGCCAGTGAACCAGAGAGGGGGGCGGTTCACGGTCCGACCGGTCCGACCGGTCGGACCGGCCGGTTCAACGGTTCTCTGTTTTTTTTTTTTTTTTTTGCAGCTTTAATGCTAAATACTTCATAGGTCTTCACTGTACAGTCTACATTGGAACTTGACGGTTAATGTACATTCTAACATGGTTATTAATAACTTAAGTCCCTAAAATACATTCATCAATATAACTTAAAACTAAATTTAAGTTGAGATAATAATAAATTTTCTAAAAATTATACATGAAACCTGGAATGACAAATATAACTAAAATATCATAATTCACCGCAAGTTTTCATAAATTCATTACAAACATAAATAGATATAGCCCAAATATTCACCAATTATCACAAACAAAAACACACAAATAACTAAAATAAATATTGACATTCTTTCACAATTCTAAAAAAGTCCATAAAAGAGTTCAACTCATATTCAAGGCATACAATTTGAATAACAAATGTCCATCATTGGCATGACAAGGCATGAGCACCCCCTTCACAATTTCATCAATTTAACCTGAAAAAGTTAAAAAGTTTATTACAAAAAATATAAATCTAATTGGTGAAACTAAAAAAAAAAAGCCAAAAAATTTTGAAAAACAAAGATACAACCAAACACAAAAAAAATCAATTGCTACTAAACATCACTAATTAATATGTTATATTACCAATCATTATCTTCATCACCATCCAAAAGGCGCCTACGCTGAAATGCTTCCAAGTCAATATCATTATCTTCTCCAACTTCACTTTCATCATCTAAATAAATAAATAAAGTAACAATTAAGGACTTATCCATATTTATAATAAAATTCAAATTAAAAAATGCACTTTTAGCACCTCATATTACAAGTTAAAAATATATTTATTTTACTATTAAAACCAACCTTCAACTAGTTGAGAATCATCTTTAGGAAGTTCTTCAAGTTCTTCCTCCAATTCATCACAATTAAGCTCGCCATCTTGTTCTTCTTCTATGACCCAAAATTCCGTTTTATCAATAGATTCATAATCAATGGGATCATAAGATCTCTTTCGGTGATCAAACCTACAATAAAATACATTAGTTACAAATTTAATATTACTTTAAAAAATAAAATATAAAGAATAAAGTAAAAAATCAATTATACCTATGTTGCAAACGCAAATTGTAGTGCACATAAACAAGATCATTAAGTCTTTGGTGCTCCAACCTATTCCTTTTTTTAGTGTGAATGCGTTCAAAAACGCTCCAATTACGTTCACACCCAGAAGAAGAAGCTGTTTGACTCAAAATTCTAATTGCAAGCTTTTGCAAATTCGGAGCATCACAACCATATAACTTCCACCAATTTTCTGTCACAATCATATTAAAATATTAGATCAAATAAAAAATAAATTCACAATTTTTGATATTAAAAAAATAGAAATAACCTGGCCGATCAGATTTACAAATAATTAGATATAATTAGTTCATTTGTAAAATATAGTGTACTAATAAGCAAATAAAATTAACAAATTTTCAGTAATATAAGAAGATCAATTAGTCACATGAATAGCTCAACTAAGAAAATGAAAAGAGAAAAGTCAGTGTTAAACTATGTCTATGCGAAAAGGAAAAAAGAAAAGTCAAGCGTAAAAGTGTTACAATGAAAAAATCAACTCATTACAATGCAACACAAATGAAAGCAACAAGAGGAATATTAATGGTACGGTTCTCAGTAGCACAAAATTGAAAAATTCAAATGCAGCAATCTTGTTTTTTGTTTTCATAAAAAACTAGGCCTTAGTTGACCCAAAGAAATAACAAGAAGGATATATACTAATAGTGAGACAATTAAGTACCCAGCCAATTTCTGTGACCATTCAACTAATTTCCTTGTGCTAATGGCAATATATCAAAAGAAAATTTTAGGTTAGGAAGTGAATAAATAGTTTTACCACTAATGTAAACAATCCAACACTTCTTACTTTTAGAGTATTAATAATCAACAGTAATTAAATAAGCTAAAGCTGCCAAACTTTATAGAATATAGCACCAAATAAATCTCCTGAGCTTTGAATGAAAGAGATATAATTTCTTATGATCCTAGTTGCTTTTAACAAATAAAAAGCAATTTATTTTGTAATTTTTTGTAGCCCGGATGGATTTAAAGAATATATATGTGTGTGTTATTGTCTAGGTAAATTGAACAAGCCATAAAAATATACCCAGTCATAACACCAATGATCAAGCCATAAAAATATACGAGATGAAATCTAAAAAAAAATAAAAAAAAAATCTCCTATAACTGAAGTATATTGCATATCTCCACAAAAGACAAACATGTTGAAAAAATGAACAAATACATTAAGGTGGCACAATAACAAAGTACTATCAAAGTCCTTGTGATTGTCAAACCCAGAGGTCCTACAGACAGAAGAAATCCCTGCGCTCCTTTAATTAGACAAACTTCAAGTTGAAATAATATTGATTAAATAAAAAAAGCTGTATGAACTTTGAACATTTGAGCAGAAATTAGTTTTTGGTCACAGAAATTAATTGAATAAAAAAAGGGCATACGGTTGCATACTATAATCATAAATCATAAATTAGTTGCATACGGTTATTGTCACAAACAATATCAATGGAACAAAAAAAGGGCATTCCAAATATTAATTCCAGAAAAATACAAAATTAAAAAACCAAACATGACTAATTTTATTAATTTGATGCTTCATCCAAAAAATAACTTCTCCAAACATGACTGCCAAATAATTTATGATTCATAAACGGATGAAAATTTGGGGGAAAAAAAAGAAGAAAATACGAAAAAATCCACTAAAGATAATATAGAAAACAAAAATCAAGAAAAGGCAAAAAAAAAGCCGTATGAACTTTGAACATTTGAGCAGAAATTAGTTTTTGGTCACAGAAATTAATTGAATAAAAAAAGGGCATACGGTTGCATACTATAATCATAAATCATAAATTAGTTGCATACGGTTATTGTCACAAACAATATCAATGAAACAAAAAAAGGGCATTCCAAATATTAATTCCAGAAAAATACAAAATTAAAAAACCAAACATGACTAATTTTATTAATTTGATACTTCATCCAAAAAATAACTTCTCCAAACATGACTGCCAAATAATTTATGATTCATAAACGGATGAAAATTTGGGGAAAAAAAAGAAGAAAATACGAAAAAATCCACTAAAGATAATATAGAAAACAAAAATCAAGAAAAGGCAAAAATTAAACTTACCAAGATGCAAAGCTTTGGAGTCCCGTCTAAAAATAATAGTGTGCTGATCTTGTTGTGGATATTTGGATGTGGAAGGATGATGAAGAAAAAAAAAATAGATTAACTGGAAATTGAAGGAATGGAGGAACTGAGAAAGTGAGAAAGTGAAGTGAAGCCAAGGAGAAATGAGAAATGGTGCCGTCGCCGTCTGTGCGTTTGTGGCTTTGTGCGGCTGAGAAAGAATTACGAAAGTGAATTGAATGAATGGTGCCGTCTGAAACCAATGCTAGGGTTTTTTTTATTTAATCTAATTTTATATTTTGATTAGATTAAGTATAATTCTACACAAGAAAAGGCTTGTCCCTCAGTTGTAGATTGGTGGTAAGTATACCCCTTGTGATCATGATGGCCCGAGTTCGAATCTTAGCTGCCTCTATTGTTGTTATTGTTTTCAATTTCAGGTCTATTGCTTGAAAATTTATGAACCGGCGGTTTACGGTTTAAACGGTTTTTAACGGTTCGTCCGGTTCTTAGCGGTTTTCCATTAGTTTCCGGGTGTGATGCTGGACCGGACCGTTGATACTACCGGTTCGCGGTCGGACCGGTCGAACCGGCCGGTCCGGTCCGGTTCTGAAAACGTTGTCTTTTAGTTGTGGACAAAATCAAGTACGCGAGCTACACAACCTCTATTATGATGAGAAAGAGTTTGCGTAGAGTTGAACAAAAACTACAATTCTCATTTAGCCCCACTTTCTCGTAACAGCCACTGCTATTAAGGATATTAAAACCGGAAAGAAGACTCAACTATCTGTTTTGGCCCTTTCGGGCTTCATGTTGTCATCTGTACTCGGCAAAACGAGGCTTTCAATGAGACAACATTCATCACTGAGGTTGTTGAACTCCTTGAAAAGCCTAACAGATTGTGACTTTCTCTTAAATTGTGAAGTCCAATTTTTTGATACGCTAGTTCACCTCAGCTGATATAGAAAGTACCTTTCGTCTAAACATCATCAAAGGTTCATGTGAAAGAGTGATCACCTTAGTCTAAGATTCTCCATATTCCTTCATAACCCATAGATCACCAGCCCTACACAAGAAAGAGTCAAAACTGCCAATTTCTCCTTCTTGATGCAATTTCAGAAGCCCAAGCTTTACCAATGTTTGGTTTGGAACTTCCAGCACGAAAGAAGTGTATTAACTTAGAAAGCGACCTATTTAATTCTCAAGCAATGCTGAAATTGTTCCTGGTTTCTATTTTTCTACCTTAGAGCAATGCTGCACCATCCGTGTAATTCTCTATCCCATTGATCAGCAAGCCTGTACACCAAGCACTTTCATTAAATGGACTTCTTAATACAAACAGAAAAAGGGGCATAAGAACAGTATATAGGTGACTAATAGATTCATTAGCTACAGAACAAAGAGGATAAATAGGATTCAACACTAGACAACATGCAACCATATGATATCTATTATGTTCCTTCACATGTAAGCCACTGTGTGAAAGCATGTCCTAGAACATGCGTTTTTTTCCCTAAAGTAGCTGAATTCAAGGCACAGAAGGACCTGCTATCATCAGCTTCTTCGTAACAAATTTAGTGGTGCATAGACCTTAAGCATCAGCTAACCAAACAGCAGAATAAAAGGGGCCTACAAGATGGATTTGGTTGACCAAATTTGTGCTGTAATTGTCGTTGGACAAAACTGCTGTATTACCCTCTATTTTAGGTGTTTTAGGCTTTGGATTATGATGTGGCCCAACCTTCGTCTTGGTATAGACTGGGCCAACAGTTAGCGTCATTAATATTTTATTTAGATTAAACCCTTTGTTATGCAATTTTGGCTCCTCACTAACTTACAAGCCCAGCCTTACACGGCTAAGTTTGTGTAGGAACTTTGGTAAATATGATTCTAGTGACAATAGTTACAGTAGAAAACAAATCTAGGTTCATACATACATCTATTTATAAGAGACATGTTTCCTAAATGAAAGCTTACAATGAATTTGCTTTCTACTTGCAAGATGTTATCTCCGCGAGCCTTCCGTTTGATGACTGTCGGGGCCATGCTGCTCCTATCTGGTGGCGTCTTCATCACTGGTTCAATTTTGGCCTCTCAGTTCGAAACCAGCTGTACCGACTTTGTGCAGTCCTTTTTTGTTGTATATGGAGCAGCTGCGGTCCTATGGTCCTGTTTCGGTTTGTTCTTCCTTTTGAAGAACCATCCATATTGGTACTTCTCTTACATGGTACTTCAAGCTCTCCTCTCTTTGGGTCTTCTAGCTACCTTGATAGCATTCTGGACGTTGGTGGCTACGACCGATCATGGTTTAGAACGTTGGTGGATGAGGAGATTTTTGTCCGAGCATGGATGGACACCTGTGGTGCAATGCTTGATGAGCACTCACTTCTGTAGACATTTCCCTGACGTTGGTGGTTGTTGCCAGATGCCATTTGGTTGTGGCACAGATAAAAAACTTGATCCAGATTGCCATAGGTGGGCAGGCACAAATGAGAAACTTTGTTATACATGCTTTAGTTGTCGGCGAGCCATAGCTCATCGACTGAGGGCTCATGGGAGGAGCCTGCAGCCTGCCTTTGTGATACTTATACTGCTGATGCTACTTGTGGAGGTTGCATTGATAGTAGAGTATTTGAAGAGAGGAGCACTACCATCAACCGATGTGCCGCCCAGAGGGCATGAGCCACCAGTTGGGGCAGCTGAGGGAGTGCAGGAGCCACCAGTTGGGGCAGTTGTGAGAGGGCAGGAGCCACCAGATGGGCATTAGTTGAGCGTGAGTAAGCAGTTGTGGCAGCTGATTCTGAGCAGGAGGAGCAGGTTTCCACTGGGATATTATTTCCACTATGCCTGTCTCTATCGTATTCCGATGCAAGTTTTACGTTATTTTAGTGGTGCACAATCTTAGGGTTATTGTGCACTTTGTTAACTATCAGCTTATTCTTAGAAATTGTACGTCTTTCTGTGTTCATTATCATATCTTGAACCCTATGCTGCAAACTCGTGGGTATCATAGTATTCTAGGAGGACTCCAATCGTGCAAGCACATCTTATTTGGTTCAACAAGTTGTTTCTGAAATCTTGGTTGCTCCGTTAACGAACTATCATCAGCAAACAAGAAGAATAAAAGGTTTATTTTGGTCGAACGAAACTTCATTAATTAATCCAATGTAATAAAGGAAAGGAAAGAGCAAAAGAAATGTTTGGAAGTTGTTGCATTGTATGTGCAAAATTCATCTATATGAAAATTTTGGTTAGACTTAGTCCTCTTTCTTTCAATGTGTCAAAGATCTTTATGAAATATATATGGAGACAACTTACTCCATCTTTGTATTCTCAAAAAAGATAATTTGAAATTGCAAAAGTCAAACTCAGCATGACATAAAGACAGTAAAGTTTTAGCATCTAATTCATGAACAGAATATTGGTTAAGATCATAGAAGAATAGGTGGGCAACTTGAAATCTAGTGCTGATTATTCTCAAGAACCTCCCAGACAATTAGGCTTACATGAATGATGGAAATAAGCATTGCATTGGAGGGCTCTAAGAATTATTCTCCTGTCAGAGTTTGAGCTTGAATCCTGGACCCGCTGGGGGCGGAAGGGTTAAAAAATCATCAAATGATTCCAACCCCAAAATGTACCATATGATATAATTGATTAGACCTGGAAGAGCTGGCAGAGTAATCGCGGACATATGTAATCATTGCCGTTGGTGTTGACCGGCTCTTGCCTGGAAATTGACTCATGGAAAGAAATTTAGGAAATACTAATAAAGGAACTTTTACTACATAGCTGCGGGCAGAAACTTCTAAGACTCTAAGAAAAAACAAAAGAAGTTCAGGGATTCCAATTCAAAACTACAAATGTTAATGAATAAGATAGTAAATCAATTTTTATTAGATGAGACAGGTACCAAATTAACGCAGTTGTATTGCTGAACTATGAGGATATATATATATATATATATATTTCATATTATAGATTTTTACTATTTTCTGTTTCTGATGATGGGGTTAACTTGTTAATAAACAGCCCTCTGTGCCAAACAAAAAGAAATTATAGCAGAATTTGACGTGATTGAATGGGAAAAAAAAGCCTCCCTAAAGGTTAGATGAAGCGAAATTTTGCATGATTTTAGGAAATCATCAACAATAGGAAAATCCAATATTCTACAAGTGCTGATATTCCCCCGCATCTTTGATTGGTCGCAAATGTCAATCACTGTATTTAAACATCACATTGCAACTTTGGGATTAATCACTGAACACAACAATGCATCGAGTATTCTTTCTAATTGCCATCTTTTGCAGCCTAATGGTTGCTAAATACCGACAATTTGTGACTGGAGATTCGTCTCTCATAAAACAAATCTGCAAGAAAACATCGGAACCTCATTCTTGCCAATTTTGCTTTCGGTTGATCCCACGAAGCAATCGAGAGGATGCAAGAGGGCTCGGAGATGCATCGATTTCTCGTGGTCACCAACGAATGTTTGTACAGCGACAAGACATTGTTGATTTGGCAAGAACTTCCAGTTCTAGCAAGTTTAAGGATGGAAACTTGCTTCAATTGCTTAACCAATATTGATTCAATTGGACAACATTTGGCTCAGGCACTCCTCAGTTGAAAGGATGGAAGCTATCGGATTCAGGCGTCTTCCGATCAAGTCCAAGAAGCTCTCGATGATTATCAACGATGTCATGATGGATTAGTGAATTATATACTTACATTAAAAGTTATTAATGAACTTTCCTTGACAAAGGCTTTCGTTGAAGTTGCTCAACGAATTCTCCTTCGATTATAGATTCTATCAATTTGGAACAGGATATATTTCTTCGTAGCAGTTCAAATTTCACTAGGCGTTTCATACGAAATTTAGTTTATATTTGAAGCGTTTCATGTGAAAGGATTATTGAAGATATATTGGTTGCAACAATTTCACAAAAATAGCTTATATACAAAGAGTTAGCACTTTTTAGCTTAATTTTATGATTTTGTTTTTAGTTCTTTAATTATTATCTCTGCAATATGTCATTATGGATTCCGAACAATTGTATATAATTGTATGCACGCGAGGAAGACATTAGCAAGAAGGAAATTCACCAATTTCTTCAGCTCATATATGCCTATCTCTCTAGGCATAATTACTTCTTGAGGTATAAACACACGAGTATGCTATAAACTATTGCCCCGTTTAGCAAGTGGTATTTGTTTAAAACTCTACTGTAGAAGTTGTAGAAATTTTTATTTGAAATATGTAAATTTTTGGATATTTTGAAGTGTATAATTTAAAATTTTTGAAATATTTTTTGAGGTTATTATATTTAAAGTTATTAAAAAACTTGTAACAGACAAATTTGGCCAAAAACTTACTTACCAAACAAGGCCTATATGTAATTCTAAAATTATCCTAAACATGCCATGCATAGGAAAAGAAAAATCTCTCACAGGAACAGCCCTGTAGTTATCACAACAGGTTAGTTTTTTTTTTTTTTTTTTTGTCTCTCTCTCTTTTTCCCCTTACCCATGCGAAAGGATTCTGGAAATCTGGAAGAAAGATTGATTTCAACAGTTGGAGAAAAACAGCTTATACATAAACGTTTACAACTTTTAAGTTACTCACACGATTTTACTTCAATTTCTTAATAAATTCTTGACGGTTAAGTCTGTCCGTAATATTGTATTCTTTTTTTTTTTTTTTTTTGAAAAAAAGGTTTGTTCCCTAGTGCAGAGGCCCTGTATTGGGCCTAGACACGTGGCAGCCCAGGTATAGCCGAGTTGGGTTCCGGCCCCAGGCTCCTGGCTACCGCCCTGGGCCGCACCCCCGCTAGGGCTCCAGGGGGATCAGGAGACCGTCCCGCAGAGGTCGGAGGAGATCCCGCTCGGCGCGGGATTGAGATTATATCAGGAAGGTCCCGGAACGTACGGAGGTCGGACTCTGGCCCAGGTATAAATAGTGCTACACACCCATTGCCCAAGGTACGCTCACTATAGGCAAATTACTCCCGGTTGTTACGACCTCCCGTGAACTCTACTCACCGGAAAACTAACTTGACCGTCGGAGCGCCCTCGGGGACAACCCTCGGGCCCCCTCGGTTAGCTCATCCTTTCTGTTTTGCAGGCTTGGAGTCAGCTCTGCCATCAGCGACCCGAGCTGATCAGGTCAGCTCGGTCCGGGGAAGCCCCGCGCTTCTTCAGTTGGCGCCGTCTGTGGGAACCGTAAGGTAAGTAAGATTGTGCTGATGGCCAGGACGCGATCCAAGCGCACGGTAGAAAGCACCGGTCCGGGGGGCGGTGAAGGATCCCAGCGAAAGGAAATTGAGGCTTCTCGGGGCGCCGGGGGCTCAGCCCTTTCAGGAGAAAGGAGGCAGCAGATCCTCCAATTCGTGACAGAGAACCTCCCCATGCTGGAAGATATCATCCGGCAGGCAAAGGAGGGGGAGGAGGCTGGAGGCGCGCAGACCTCCAAGGCGAAGGGGAAGGAGAAGGAGCCACTCCCCGAACCCTCGGAGGATGAGTCGCGCGACCAACCCCCCGGGAGGAAACGGCCACGGACGCCGCCTCGCCCGCGAACCTCGGAAGTCAGAGACAACGAAAGGTACTCCCGACACAGGTCCACGGGGAGCAAGCCGAGGGGTCCCTCGCCGGCGAGGCCTGCAAGGAACGGTCTCGTGCGCTCTCCAGACAGGTCTGCCAGGAGCCGACCTCGCGACCACCTGCATTCGGACCCTGCCCGGGATGAGCTTGAGCGGATCCTGAGGCCCCGGCAGTACGAGGACAACTACGCAATCTCGCCTTTTACCCGGGAAATAGAGGACTACCCTCTACCCCGGAGGTTTAAGATTCCGAGCATTGAGATGTACGATGCCTCCACAGATCCAGAAGACCACCTTTCGGTCTTCCTGACGCATATGCGCCTGCAAACCGCCGCGGATGAGATCCGCTGCAAGACCTTCCCTATGTTCCTAAAGGGGAAGGCGCGACTCTGGTTCCAGGGACTGAAATCGGGGTCTATACGGAGCTTTCCCGAGCTGGCCCGGCAGTTTGCAGCCCAGTTCGTCTCCTCGAAGGTCTACGCGAGGAACGCAACCCACCTGATCTCCATCAGGCAAAGGCCCGACGAGTCACTGAGGAATTTCATGACCCGCTTCAATGCGGAGAGCTTGCAGGTCAGGGACAAGGACGAAAAGGTGGTGATGGCCGCCTTCACAAACGGGGTCAGGGTAGAGGAGCTTTTCTACGACCTGGCCAAGAAGCCTCCCGTAAACCTGGAGGAGCTCCTTCGCAGGGTGCACGCGGCTGTCAACGCAGAGGAGGCAGCCCGCCTGAAGAAAGAGTCAGATCGAGGGCTCGGAGAGCGGAGAGAACGGAAAAACCCCCCATGAGGTCCGCAAACGGCTTTAAATTGCGAAATTTGAGAGTGCGATGCTCGACCCCAAGAGGTCGGCACGCCTGTTAAAGACGGGAGGCTTGACGCTCAACCCAAGAGATCGGCATGACCGTCTTGAAGGTGTGATGCTCGACCCCAAGAGGTCGGCACGCCGTGACTTACTTTGAGGCAGCTTGTCAAAACCAGGGAGCACGCTGGCTCGGCCCAGGAGGTCGGCACGATTGCCCTGAGAATGTAATACTCGACCCAAGAGGTCGGCATGACTGCCTGGAAAATGTGATGCTCGACCCCAAGAGGTCGGCACGTCTGCTAAAATCAGGGAGCTCAACGCTCGACCCAGGAGGTCGGCATAACTGCCTTGAAAATGTGATGCTCGA